AAGAAGAAAATACCTAAGCCTTTTTTCTCTTCAAGAGTTTGAATCATGGTCTCCCACATTTTTCATCCACTTTATTGATCACTAGGCTACAAACTCCACCTTCTACTCTTATACATGCTACCTTCCCCTAACACAAAAATAACTTGAAAATGTATATTTCTTTTCAACAATCCCACGGAAAAATGTTACATGCATCAAGGATGCAAAACAAGAGGCATGTAAGAGGTACATACGAACCTCATTCGCCATGTTAAACATCCTTTTTGTTATATCACACCATATATACAAGGTTTATTAATTTCTTTTTATGTATATACATGAACCCTACAGCAACAACAAACCCAATGCAATCCCACAACTGGGGTCTGAACAGAGTAGTGTATACACAAGCCTTACCCCACCTTGAGAAGTTACATAGTTGTTTCCGATAGACCCTCACACAAAAACTATACACATAAACCCCATTTGCGTGATGGCACTACATAAACAATACAAGCAGAAATAAACAACACAACAAAAAAGAGGAAACCTTACTGTATTACATGATCACGATCTTCACTGCCATAAAACCCTGCATGAGGAAAATTATAGATAATCCTATCAAATTTCTGGTTACTGAGATCAGTATGAAGCTGTATTTCAGTTGCATCCACACCATGCAACACAGTTCCTCCCAAAGATTTCAGCTTTTCCAAGTTCGATTGCCCATTCTTGTACATTTTGATCACTTCATCTGCACACAACAACAAAAAAGGGAAAAAAAGTTAACTCCAAAATTTCATATTTTGCGAAAACCCCATCATAGATTAAGCAAAATAAACACAACCCAGATAAGAAATAGAGCAAAAAAAAGTTACCATATAATTGTAAAGACGAAGCAACAATATTCGATGCAGAACCAAAAAACTGAGCTAAACAGAGAGAAAAAGAGAAATCTCCATCACCCACTAAGAGTATCCGATGAAATGAAGAGTAATGTTGAATAATTTTCTCTTCTTCTTTATATTCATCTTCTTCATTGATCACTTTTGGGTTTTCTTCTACTTCCGCCATAGCTAGTGCAGTTTCTTTTTCTACTTTATTCTACTCTGTTTATGCAGGCCAAAAAATAAAAAGAAAATTTGAATTTGTGAAAGAAGGGCTAAAGTTGAATGGAATTACGAGTTTGACATCAGGATTTAACGGGTTATATCTGTGTTGCTTCCTGTAGCTTCTAGGGGTAAAATGGGAATCATAGGTTATTTTGTGTACGAACCAATACTTTTTTAGCTTCTCTTGTAAGGAAAATAAATAGTAAATTTTCAATTATTTGATGTGATTTATGGAATTAAGATATTAAATTGATTTTTCTGGATCACTATAAATTTTATTTTTACAGGTATAAAGTTTGAAAAATAAAAAAATTTGTAGTGTTATTTTTCTTATTCAAATTGTATAAGGTTATGGTTGAATCATTTCGTGTTAGAAGTCTTAAATTTAAAATGCATATGATATTATTTTTTTTCTTTTTATTTTAAAATCTAATTTTAAAGATTTATCGTGAAATATTTTAGGCTAAAGCCTTCAAACTAAAAGGAGCATGTGGTATTAACTTTGATTTCTTTTAGTCATATAAAATATTGAAGAGTTATATGGATTTTCTTTTTATAATTTCAATGTCACCCCCATTTTTAATTTTTTTTCCCTTTCTTCATTTATTTTTAAAAGTTCAAATGAGATCACTTCACAAACATTCTAAATATATTTATAACATATAGATTTTAGATTAGAAATCTCTAACTTGGTAAATTAGAATCTCATATCCCATAAATTTTGACACCTTGAAATATCACAACGTTCACTAATCACTTCCAATGTTTTAACTCTTTCTAAATTCTCTTTTTAATATTTTGTTCTCTATTTATGTATAATGCAATTGTATAAGTCAAGTATATATTAAACTTTGTTTATTGTATATATACAACATCATATTGGATTAAGAGAAGTTGATGTTTTGGGCTTTGCATGTTGGCCCAAGTTTGGCTGGCCCAGTAGTAATGTGGGATTTTGTTGCTAAAATGTCCCTTTGTGGTTGTTATTTAAGTTGTCCAAATTTTTGAAGTTGTACAAATATAGCCCTTGTAACATACAAAATATTAGTACGTGATAATTTTGCGGTGCACAAAATATTTCATATTTACGTAAGGTTGAGGGAAGGATCGCATCTTAAGGGTATGATATAGACAATTTAACATAAAAGAAGTATGGTTGCTTTCACGAAAATTATCTTGTGGGCTTCGACTCGAACCCATAACCTATTGTTATGCTTTTTAGAAACAATAAAAGCAGCCACTTAACAATAATTTTTTCTTTGTTTAATCATTATAAAAAATAATGATTTTTTCTTAACCACATAGTTTTCTGACTTTCTTTCTACTTTCTTAGTGTGCAAGTATTATCAAATCAAAAAGGCAACTTATTATGCTGCAGAGTTGCAATAAAAACCATTGATTTTTTGTCTACCAATACAATCCAACTGTTCTCCATTTGACAGGTCAATGTTTTATATAAATAAGTAGAATTTCAAAGGAAAAAAGAAAAGGTGTAAAGTGCAACTAAGACCCCCCAAAAGTGGGTGCAACCATGTTAGGTACGGGTGTGATTTAATAATTAATGAAATAAATACAGTTTAAAATAAGTTTAACAGATGAATATTTTTATCTATCTTGTATTGAATTTTTTAATTTTTACCGTCTAAAAAGATCTCCTTTGAATAAACTAATATTATTAAAAAAATAGTTAATTCACGTTATGAGATGTTGTAAATTATTACAAATGTTAAATAGTAATTTCCATTTTTAAACAATATATAAGAAGAATATTAAATTTGAATCTTATATTCCTACAACTTTATATATAAATAGGATAAAATCTTAACAATGACCTAAAATGGGCACATTAGCATAAATCAAGGAACTTTAAAGGTTCTAGCAAATGCAAGAAAAAACATTAGATAATCTTGTGTACCTAAATCTCGATAGGCAGAATTATTCAGTACATGTGTTTATAAAATATAGCATGAGTCTAAAAATAATAATTGAGAATAAAAAATAACAAAAGTTATAGAGCCCTGTGGTGGCCTGGATGGGGCACTAGCTTTAGTGTTTTTCTGTATAAATACAGTGATTCAACTATTGGAAAAAAAAAAGCAACACAAACAATTCAAATCAAAACATCTATGTCCAAACTTCAGTTGCTACTCACATTACACCTTTATCATATACTATTGTTAAATATTAAAAACAAACAAAAAAGCTTCTTTCCCTTTTACTTTCCTTAATCCAATTCCAAATTCCCATTATTAGTATATCACTATCTTATGATAAATAGATTGTTCATCTTTTCTTTCATAATTCATTAAGCCAAATATGACTTCCTCAGAGAGCATAAGTTTCTTTTCTCCTGAATATAGTACACCTAGGATGTTTCCTCTAACACCGTCACCAACACCAACACCAGCACCAACTTATAAACGTGGCGGTCCATCGCCTATGAGCCAAATCATCATGGCAAAACAAGCCCTCAATCAACCTTTGACACCAGAAATGTCACATGAAATCAAAAGTAAACCAATAGTACAATATGTCGTGCCACGACAACGAAGACGTACAAATCCTGCAGTATGGTGTGCTGCAATACTATGCATGATGTTCTGTCTACTACTAATATTATTTGGTATTGGAACTTTAGTCATTTTTCTATCAATCAAACCAAGAAATCCAGTTTTTGATACATCAAATGCTAGTCTAAATGTTATATACTTAGACTCACCTAAGTATATGAATGGTGACTTCACATTTATAGCAAATTTCACCAATCCAAACAAGAAACTTGATGTGAGATTTGAGCATTTGGTCATTGAACTTTTTTTCTCAGATAGCTTAATAGCAACACAAGTTGTTCAACCATTCAGTCAGAGGCAACGCGAAACGCGATTAGTACAAGTTCACATGATATCTAGCTTGGTTTATTTGCCACCAATTTCAGCCTTCAAACTACAAAAACAGGTACTTAGCAACAGAGTTGTTTATAACATCAGAGGAACTTTTAAGGTCAGAGTGAATATTGGCCTAATTCATTACTCTTATTGGTTACATGGGAGATGTCAATTAGAGATGACAGGTCCACCTACTGGTGCTCTTATTACACATAGTTGTAGAACAAAGAGATGAAAAAAAATGATCACTTGTGTATATTGCATACTTTAGTACAGCAATTTGATTTGATTTTCCATATTCCTTCTATTATGTTAAGTACAAAAACTATGTTTCTCAATGCCAAGCAAGTTGAGATCGGCTATATAAATTCTCTTCTTTTTTTCTATGTTCAAGATTAGAGAAAACTTAGTTAGGAGTTTCCTACAGTATAGTTCAATAATTGAAAGGCAAAAGGCTTTAATCAATTAAACAATTATCTCCTTTACTTTAAGTTTTGCCACAGGAAACTTCCCCCCACCCTCCCCCCCCCCCCACAAGAAGGGGTTTGTGAAGTTGGTAATATAGTGGTGTTCGAGTCAGATCGTACACACTTGACTATTCTATCGAGTACGTGCTACCTCCTTACAAGACTTAAATAGATGGGAAGAAATCACCAATTGTTTTCTGAAGGGGATTGTAGAGTTGGTAATTGGAATTCTAGTTTTCAATTTCTCTAGCCATGACATCTTCATGTGTCAGATACTCAAAAAATGCATTACCTTTGGAGGATCTGACATGTACCCTCAACGTTTTTAAAGAGTCCGAGCAACATAGTATGAGGCACTTTTATTTATACCTCTTCAGTATATTGCTTTAAGATTGCTACATATGTTTCTACAAAATGGTAGCCAGCTAACAAATGGAATATATTAAATCATCTCTGGTGGTTCAAAAGTAGCTGAGATAGCAAAGTAGAACATATAAGAAGCACCAAAGTAGATACACAAATCACTTCTTCTTTTATACCTTTCTAGGACCTTGCCTGTCCCTTCGGAGATATCTGATAAAATTGGAACGATACAAAGAAGATTAGTGTGGCTCATGTGCAAGGATGACATGCACAAATCGAGAAATGGTCATGGACCTCGCATCAAACAGGACTTACATGGGGAAGATTAGTGCAAATATATAGACAAAGTGATGCAGTCTGCATAACAGAACCTCTGCACTATCAAGAAAGCAGCCACACTAGTAGAAATGGAAACCAAGAAAATATATGTGATCAAAATTTTCTATGGAACTTCCACGAGTATTATGGACAACGAGAAGCAAATATGCGATTCATACTATCGACATAGTATGGAACTTCCACGAGTATGCAAATCTTATCACTATGTCAAAAGTGTTATTTGTAGTTTTGATGATTTGACAAACTTACGGACCTCATAAAGGTACCGGGTTTTCTACTTGAGTATTGCGGGTGTCTTCTTTGAAGTATTGCAGATGAAACAAACCCAGGGACCTAGTAGAGATACCAGGCCCTCATGATGATGAGCCAGTCAACTGCCAGCTGGAGACGTACAGAAAGTAGGTGCACACTTCCCGATGGCGTCAGAAAAGTGTGACCTTTCCAACCAATGGCAAAGAAGTTTAGGAAAGTGACTTGCCCATATAAAAGGCACTTTCCTAAACATTTGTGTTCCAGTTTTTGCAACTTGATAAAAACTTTTCAAGAACTCTTGCAAAGGCTACACAAAGAAAAGGCAGAATCATTCCTAGGACAACAGCAACATCTGGAGCTTTTCGTCTGGTTGTTTAGGAATTTATTCTCTTGTTCTTAAATTGTAAACCACTCCTAAATCTATAAAGGAATTGGTGTGTTGCGTTAAAAGTCTAGGTTGTCCAGGTGGGATAGCTTAGTGGGTAGATTGTTTTTCTACTTTGGCTGGCCTGTTGAGCAATAGAGGTCTATTGCTTAACGGTAAGATTGATAACTCTTTCTTACGTTTGGTGTAATCGTGTTTCGCTTTTGCATTTGAAGATTAGTGAAAACGATTGAAAATCCTGAGACAGGTCGTGGTTTTACTCCCTTAAGCAAGGAGGTTTCCACGTAAAATCATTGTGTCAAATTTTTGCATCCAATATGTGCCTAATGAGGATCGAGGGCAGCGAGGACAATATCTGCCCTCCGGTCGCATGTCAAACCAGCGAGCCAAGCAACACATTGTTTAGAATGTATCATTTATATTAATTAAACAATGTATCATTTATATTAACTTTATTACTACTTTTAATTTTATTTTTCAGATTATATATATATAATATTAAGAATTTTCAACGAAGTAGTGTCAGAGTGACACCCTAGGCGTAGGGTGGGTCCACCCCTGCACATAGGAGTGGAGGATTCTAGAGTTGAGGAGACACTTTTGGAAAATTCTAGAATGTCTCAGATATTTCAAGAACGCTTTAGAACATCTTAGATAATGTAAAATTCTCTAGAAAGGAATCAATGTGTTAATAATATATTAGATATTTCAAAAACGCTTTAAAACATTCTAGATAATTTTAAGTTTTCTACAGAAGGAAATCAATGTGTAAATATTTTAGGGACTTATAAAGTCATTTTAAATTATACTTTAGTCCATAGATGGTAGTATAAATATAGGTGTCATTCTTTTGCCAGACATCACTCAATTTATAAAAGTTGTAAAGCATTTTGCAATCAAATACAAAAGTAATGTAACATATGAAAACATGAAAGTGAAAATGAGATATATATAATTATATATGTAACTTTTTTTTATAAGTGAATATAAACTTTGAATAACAATTTTATTTGAGTTATCCCGTAATGAAGCGATATTTCTTTCAAATTGTCTTGAGTTCTATTTACTATTTCCGATTTTTGCGACAATGGAAAACACAGTGAAAATCGTGGGGACAAAAGAAGAGGCAGTGTAGAAAGATGCGTATTGAGTGGCAGGCGGCGTAACCACCATATTTCATCATGAGTTCTTTAATCAGAATGATTCATTTATTAATCAGTCAATCGAAAAATAGTTAAGTAACTGAAAAGACTAGAATTAGAATATCAACTCTTCAGCTTCACCAATTCATTCAAGAAACTTATCAACCTTCACAAATTATCTAAAAGGATAAACAGAATGATATAAATATGGTTCAACATGGTTCAACTGATAAACCCTTTAAATAATAAAAGGTTACAGTTTCTGTAAGAATGATTTTCAATAATATTCCTGGATTCAAACTATAATAAGAATTCTAAATCTTTCACTCATCAAAGTTTATTGTTTTTTATATATATAGATTTTTTTTCTTTATTTTCTTGGTTAAGTGAATATAAACTTTGAACAGTAATTTACAAGAGTTACTTAATGGAAAGATTTTTGAAATTAAAAAGACTAAATTTTTAACATAAAACATGTTATTAAAATCAATACCAAAGACAATAGTATATAACCTGTTATCATCAACTCCAACTTTTTTCCCCCTCTAATATTTGTAACCTTTAACAAACAGACTCTCAGAAGCAGCACCACTTCCACTTCCACCTGTATACTTTCCAAGTGTTGCATCTGAATTAGCCTTGCACCTTGTCAAAAATGCCTCTTGAGCTTTGCCAACATTTTCTTTTTTTCCACCCCAAGTCTTGAGGGTACTTTGCTGAAGAGCTCTTCCAAATGAAAATGACAGTGTCCATGGCTTAAGCACTTCCAATTTGTTCATTGCATTTAAGTTCACTGTTGCCTCTTCCTCACTCTGTCCTCCTGATAAGAACACTATCCCTGGCACTGCTGGTGGCACGGTCCGGCGCAGGGCTGTGACCGTGTACTCTGCTATTACTTCTGCTGCAACCTAAGATAACGAATGAGAACGGGTGTCAAATGTGCAGATTGGACTAAATCATCGCGTCAATATCAATAATGGATCATGTCTATGTTGCTGACATTACACTCCCTTGAGGTGCGGCCCTTCATAGGACCATGTGTGAACATGGGATGCTTTGTGCACTGGATTGTCCCTTCTTTTTATCAAATCAAACTTACGAAATCATTTTCTTTTATTTATCATGCCTAGTTGACAACAAACAGATCTCAAATAAAATTATAGTATCCTTTTTCTCACTTTTTGATAAGTTTCCTAATGGATAATACAATTAGCTCCATAAATAGGCCCCTCAAATTGGTCCTAACTTTAAGATATGATAATTTGAACTATATAACCTACACATGAATATACACATTCCAACTAGAACCGATTAGACGAGTTACATTTTCATCCAATTTAACTATAACAACCTATGTTGCTCATACTCTTCAAAAATGTTGTCAGTGGCATCAGATCCTCTAGAAGTAGTGCGTGGTGCAACAACATTTTGAAGAATCCATGCAACGTAACATAGGCTACAATACAGTAACTGTATAAAAATCTTGTACGATCTCCATGTATATAACTTTAATTCTTAATAAATTACTAACCTTGGGGCTATCAGAGCCAGGGGTGACCATGTTAGGCTTCAAAAGTGTTCCTTCAAGAAGAACATGCTGGTCATTGAGTGCCTTATAAACAGCAGCAAGAACAGTTTCAGTGGCTGCTGCACATTTCTTGATATCATGATTTCCATCTGTCAGAATTTCTGGCTCCACAATTGGCACAAGTCCGTTTTCTTGGCAAATTATCGCGTAACGAGCTAGCCCCTGAGCATTTTGCTGAATGGACAATTCTGAAGGCTCAGTAGCCCCAATTTTCAACACAGCTCTCCATTTGGCAAAACGAGCACCTTCTCAAGACACAATGTAGTTAAATAATTAAACCTTGTTCTCCCTCTAACAGCTTATGATTTTAAAAAAATCAGAAGAATAAATTAATCTAAATAGCCTCTGGATACATAACATATTTATTTCTGTAAAGATGCATTTCACATGATGCACGTGAGAGTGCGTGTTGAAATATAGCATAACAAAGTAATTAATCACATAAATCAAATCAAAATGAGTTCAAACACACACGTACCTGCTTTGTAGTACTGTGCACAACGTGCACCCAACGAGTCGAAACCTTGAGTTGTGGTCTCACCATTGGTCCCAGCCAAATCCACGGTACCCTTGTCAACCTTAATCCCAGGAACAACATGGTTCTCTTGAAGAAGTTCAACAAACGGCTTTCCATCAGAAGTGCTTTGGTAAAGTGTTTCTTCAAAGAGAATAACACCAGAGAGGTAAGGAAGAGCATTTGGTGAAGTGAAAAGGAGTTCACGAAGTGCTTGACGATTTGGTTCAATGTTTTCAACATTAATGCTTGATAAACGTTTTCCAATAGTGCCAGTGCTTTCATCTGCTGCCAAAATACCTTTCCCTGGCGTTGCTATGTACTTGGCATTCTTGATAAGTTCCTCTGCATTTATAGCATGATAAGAGTTGAATTATACTTTAAGGTACGTGTACATCTTGCCATCGACCCCACGTATATATATTATCTGTCTAATTACAAGTAAACGCAATTTAATTTGTTAGTTACCCTAAAAAGAACAAGGCTATTGCATCTAGTATTTATGCTACATGTGTAAAAATTGAAATCAAGATATATACTTTACATAATAGGTTGGCTTTATATACATGCATGACAATATATGTACCACGTACTATGTAAAATATACATTCTCACGTACCTTAAAGGACCGTTACTGCCCTTGCATGCTGGCTAGCAAAATATGTACGTATTTATTTACCAAGACCAACTCGTTTTTTATATAGGATTTACGAAAACCACAAATATATATATATATATATGAATTCACATAAATTTAATAAAAAGAAATTACCGACCTATATATGTATATATAAGTAAAAAAATTCACTTAATATGAATAAATATTTTATCGTAAATATTATATTAATTATGAATTCATAAAGTTTAAATTTTGAAGAGAAGTTTACCGGCATATTTTCCCACAAAGGCAGACATGGTTGTGCTAAAAGGATAAAGCTAAGGAAGCAGCCAACTGAAAAAGGACGAGAACCCAAAAAGCTAGAAACCCAATCTATATAGTAAATGACTTGGAATGGATATTCCTATTATGATAATCCAATTATTGACACGTGTCTATAGATTAGCCCAACAAAGATTATCGTCCTCTCTAACAAAAAATGAGTGAACTACATATTTCACTGCCAAACGTCCCCTTTCTATTTGTGTGAGGCAAAAAATATTGTGAGGAGTTGATGCCTCATCCACAATATTTTGTTTCTTTCTCACATTTATGATATAGAGCCCAAAAAACAATCATCTAAATCTGTGGATGGCTCTCGAAAGGCTCTAAACTTTGAATTCACACTGCAACCAAATATACATCTCAAGTTGTTCCATAGTTCATATTTTTGTTACACCAGGAACTCTGATTCGAGCAGTGAATATTATGGAACACGTATACACATTCCAGATTCAGGCAAGGAAATGTCACCTTTAGTGAAAGCGGTCAGTTTTTCAAAAACAATACTATTTCAAAACCTGAAATACGAGACCTCTAATTAGGACGGAGGGATATTACTACTCCACCACAAATTTTAGTGGTATTCTTATTTTCTGATTACATATATGCATAGTTTAAAGGACTCGATAGAGCGGAGTGCAAAAAGAAATCACGTTTATAAGGCTTGTATACTCAAAAATGCTACAAAATGTCCGTTACACAAGTGTTTTCACCATATGCTCATCTTACTTTTTTTCTTTTAAAAGATCTTTTTAAAAAAATTGAATTGGAATAGAACGTTACATCTCTCATTATGTGATTGCGGGGTATGGAGGGGGCCACAACTCTTCGTTTAGTCATCGTCTGTTCCAAAATATCGATCACCAAACTCACCCATCCCAGGAATAACACGAAAATCATCATTCAGGCCAATTTCTATCTCAGATGTCACAATCTTTATTCTTGGAAATCGCTTGCACACCACATGGACTCCTTGAGGTGCCTAATTTTAAAGAAAAACAGTTATTATTCGACAACTCCGTTGAACACCACAAGAAGTAGTAATTGCAGAAAGTTAAGAGAAATGCAAAGCCTGTACTGGATAATTCAGTGAACTTACAGAAATGAGATTGAGGAATAAAATGTTGGACTCCGGGACACCCTTCTTCAGCAGTAACGAAATAGCTTGAACAGCAGAATTCCCTGTGTATGTACACGTTACAGGTTTTGCTCACGTAAGCTTTTGATGAGAAATTATTGTAAAATCTTGATGATGTAGTTCATCCAGCAGTAGGTGTGGATGAAGCTCGTGGTCAGTTATCTGATATCCGGAGCATTCTTAAAAACTAACCTGTTCCGAGGATGGGATCCAACAGCAGGACATGTCTTTCTGCAATATCTAGTGGTAGTTTCTCATAGATCAGCTGCATCATTATTAACAAAATGCATCAATTTAACACAGGGAGCGCAAAAGGCAATATAATGACTCAGGAGGGTAACGACTCGGGAGGACCCTGCAGATTGCTGACCTGCTGACCGTTGTCACCCTCTCGATGGATCAGGATCTTGCCAATCTTGATACCTTTACAACATGCTCGCAAGGCATTCTCCATGCTCTCTCCACTGTGTATAATTAAGAAAATTTTATGGTAAACAAACAAAATACAGCAATTCAATCACTTTGGTGAAGGCAGAGAAGACACAGAAACAAAAACTTGTTAATTAGATTCTCTACTAGAAACTGGATGACCATTAAGCGATTGTCCTGCCATGTAGCAAGTATTTATCCTAAAAAAATGCAAAATGAAGTTTCTCCGCAATGAATATGCTTCTGAGATAAGAGACTGTCATTTGTTATCTTCAGTTTTAATCACTAACATGATGCTCCACGTGAAATATATCTGAGCTTCACACATGCACAGACCATTGAATTCGATCTACTAAACGAGCCAAGTTTGGGACATAATATACCAATAGAACAAGTGAACAACATAGGCATAAAGGACATGGACAACCATACAATCAATCACTCAATCTAATGAAGGTTACCAAATTACATGGACCAACATATATACACGCATACAACACCATTACAAATATCAGAAAGTCCTTTTGCTCTAAAGCAATTAGTACTACCATACAGGAAAAGCAAGGGAAATGCCAATTACAAACTCACCTTCTAATTACTGAAACACCACATAACCTCTTACAAAAATCAACACCACTGTAAACAGATCCTGCACTCATAAGAAATACATCTCATTAAGAATTTATTTTTGCTCGTTGAAGCTATTCCCACTTAACTGGGTATATAGAAAAAGATTAAACTCCACGAAGAAACAAAAGTTGCATAAAACCCACTCCTAGAATCCCGAGAATATGACTTTAGAATAAAATGTTAAAATCATGATTCAAGTATTGAAATTGACCAAAATGAAGTACTGCAACGAACAAATTTTCAAGAGCTGACACAAATTAAAGGAGGAAAACGTGTAGCTAGTTTTTTTCTAACCGCTATAGGATCAGTAATGTTTTATGATGCCTTACATATACAATCCAACAACTGTAAAAGAAAATATCTTTGCGGGGAAAGTAGTGTCTTCAACAATAACCCTATGGGTTGTTTAAACTTAATACTGTAAGCAATGCTATCTTGTAACATCCCAATGTTACAGTGACCAGTGCCATACTTTGACCAATACAGTAACATTAGTCGTACTGCACTGATGCATTATAATGCCTAGGCTTTTTCCAGTTACAATTCAGCCATTTTTTCTTGATATCAGTCATGACTTCAGAAACCATGGCCAAGTATCATAATTGTATCCACACTCTCATCTGTCCTAAGAAGATCACCATAAAGCCTGCTTTTTGGACCTAATTTCAATAACCTTACTATATAAAATGTAGTAATGAAAGATGCTCTGAATAAGATTTCTAAATAGAAGGGCATGAATATCAATAAATTACAGTTGCAGCTTACCAGTTGGAGTCAACACCTGCTTTTCCGTAAATGGCAGATGTCCTAAACCATGTTCAACAACCTGGTTCAAATGAAGATAAATCTAGTTGATAAGCTAAAAAAGGATTCACTTTCATTGACTGGTTGAGAAAAATAGGATAACCAGTAAAGCAATGTACTAACCAATCGAATTAATCTATCAGCATAAAATACAAAGTCATGTTTAGTTGTATGACCATCCCGTATAAGTGTATGCATGCCACGTATCTGAATGAAAAAAATACCAATCTTTAGGAGCACATGGGAGATGGATCTTGAACAAAGCGAATCAATTTCAAGAAAAAAAGAGAAACAGGTAAAAAGGGACAAGTAATATCTTAAATTTCGTAGATAAAAATGGTACCTGGAAAGTTGATTGAATGACATATAAGTTAGGATATATTTTACAAAGATCATGTTGACCAAGTTTTGTCCGAATGTGTTGCACAATCAAATCGATAGCAACATGATTGTCTCCACCTCGGGGAATGATAACATCAGCATACTTCTTTGTAGGAAGAATGAAGTCATCAAAAGCAGCTTTCACAAACTTAGAGTACTGCATCAAAGATTTAACTCAAATTATTAGTGAAAACCAAACACCTAGGCATAAAAATCATGCTAATCCGATGACAATCAACTTCAAAAATGCAATTAGAAACTTAATAGATGGATGGAAGTTGAATCATCAGTTAAAGAAGAAATGGTTTTTATTGAGCTTATTAGAAAAAAGGCAATTTTAGAAACTCATAATGGAAGTTTCACAGAAATGAACTGAGGAAGGAACTTAGAGCCTATTTTGATTGGCTTATTTAGGTGTTTTTAAGCATTTTCGGTAAAAGAAAATAAGTGATTTTAAGCACTTGTTTTCAAGCTAAAAGAACAAAGATAAGCCAAAAGTCAGAAGTTAGAAATCCTAACTTATGACATTTGGCCTTATAAGCCCAAATTTCCATTAGGTTCGTAGTCATCAAGTCACTGGTCTTCGTTATAAACAAAATGTAATATGTTGGAAGAGTAAGAAACTCAAGAAATGCTTTATCAAATATCTGTCAAATTTGAGTGAAAGATCCCCACTTTTTTCAAATAAGCCTGAAAGTTTTCCTAACCTGATCAAGCACCATACTAATATCTCTTCCCTTTTCAGCTGTGTCACGTCTTATTCTCCTCGCAAGACGTACATCAGCATCTGCACTGAAAATTTAAGATGATGAAACCACACAAGTAGAAGACCCAACATAAAGCACTGTCCAGTAGATATGGAGGGATACAACATGCTCGTATGTCAAGAACTAAAGCAGAACATCCAAGTAAAAGAATACTATATGAGATGACTACTAGGACATTATGCTAATTTTTTCTCTAGTACATCATGGTAACATGTCAATGAGAGGGAACAACTCATGCCACAACAATAATAAAGGAACATCAAAAGAAAGGAGATGAAAGAACCTGTATCAACAAATATCTTCATATTCATCAGATCTCGGACACGTGGATCGTGAAAGATGAGTATGCCTTCCAAGATTATAACATCTGAAGGATTGACCTACCAAGTAAAATAAAGAAGGTGAATTGGCACTAATGGAGAATTCTGAAAAAAGACAGCTACAACTCGAAATGCAGGCAATTGTGTGTCTCTACCTATATATCCAGCTGTCTATCTAGAGACGTATGTGTTTTCTGTGTCATAGGAATCCAATCCCTCTTTCTTCCTTTTAAATATTTTTAGATAAGGTATTAAATTGGAAGAAAGAAATAGTGCAAAAAGATGAGGGAGTTTAAATGTTGACTAAGATAAACAGAAATTGATGTATTCTTTAGAAAGTTGGATGACGTATGCAATAAAATGAAACAAAATAAAATCATGCTATGAAGATTTACCCTTCGAAGAGGGAATACGTCATTTTTGTAACTCTTAAAATCATATTTTGGAATATCTACTGCTTGCCCCTGCTTCAATTCCTCCACCACACGCAACAATTTTTCGGTGTCAAATGCATCTGAACAATAAGAAAGAGAATCATGAAACTTACAGCAAACAGTAT